GAGCAAGGCCCAAGAGCAGCCATGGCACCGCACGGCAGGATGGCACAGCCTTTGGAGTGGCACCCCACAGAGCAGGGAGCTCTGGCACCCCAGGGGTGTGGGGCAGGCACCCATCTTTGTCTGCAGGGTAGCAGAGGCTGTGCTGGTGGCTCCCCCAGGGCCTCATGCATGGATGACACTGTCTGATGTCACCCCACAGCCCTGCAACCCTTTGGTGCAAGTGGTGCCCTCGGCAATGACTCCATCCCTCCTGCGCCCATAGGGTGGTTTCAAGCGGCCGTGCCTGTCTTTTCTCCATGGCACCGCCTGGCACCCTGTGCGCCAGCCCAGCACCAGGCACCGCTTTGCCCCAGCACAGCCAGGCTGGGCTGCAGCAGCAAGACTGTGAAGCCGCGTGGCACCCAGGGGGACAGTGCCTGCCTTGTTGCTGCCCCCGAGGCAGGCAGTGGCCGGGGAGCGGTTCCCACTGCCCCAGCCGGGTTCTTCTCCTCCCTCCTGGGCGGGGAGAGCGGACAGGAGATAAAAGGGAGACCAAGGCCAGCTGGTCATTGCTGAGAGCCACTGGGGCTAGGAGCCAGGTCTGGCCAGAGGACGGCAGCGAGAACTACGGTATTGCGGGGTTATTCTCGTGGGGGAGAGGGTGGGGGATTGGGGGTGCATCCATCCCAACCAGACACTGCAGCCCCCCGCTCCCTCCACATCTCTCTGGATCATTCCTCCCAGCCCTGTGTCCTGCCCCTGGCCATTGAATGTCCTGTACCCTGGAGGAAAAGGGTGCATCTTGGGGGAGGCAAGGTTAGGGGGTCTGTGTGAGGAAGGGGCTTCAGGTGAATATTGAAAGCAGGGGGTTAAAGTCTATGTGCACCCACAAAGCACTTTGTGGGGCATCAAGGACTTTCAAGGTTACTTGAAGGTGAAACTGTCCCTGTCCCAGTGACTCCCCACTGGTGGCCAAAACGATAGAAACTTCATCCCTACCCATCTCTGGGTTAAAGATAGACACCCAGCCAGGACTGGGTTTGGTTTGGGAGTCAGTGAGGTGGAGAACGCCCATGAGGAGTGCAGGACCATCATCCCCTGACATGCGGAGCGGGTGCCTCACCACTAGAGGACACCCGGGCACCTGGTTGTGGCAGCGAGTGCCCACGAAAGCTGACAAGGGTGTTGTGCTTGTCGGGAGCTAGGCACATGAGCTAAGACAATCTTCTAACATAGTCCCCCTTTCCTCACCGCCCTGGTGTGGGGCTACCGGCTCCCAGTGCCGTGCTGGGGCCATTCCAACACTGCTCACCAGTCTGTCTGCCCCAGAGGGAGGTGCAGGGTGGCCAGGAAGACCCCACTGGGTTGAGCCCTGGGACGAAGCTGAGAGTAATGCCCCGTTTCCTCCTGCCAGGGCCAGGGGTGCAGGATGGGGCTGCTGATGCTGGCCCTGGCCG